TATAGTATACTANACACACACACATACACACACACACACACATATATATATATATATATATATATATATATATGTATATGTATAGGAGTATGGATACTTACCCGTTAGCACCACAAGATTTTTATAACTATAAACTAATCGTGGCTGCCTTCATTTTCTGTACTGCTCTCTGGCAACAACCATAAGTTTTATTTTGTCTGGCATCTATCGCTCGTTTCAACTTGGTTTAAGTTTCTTACAAAAGCCTATTATAAGTGACTATCCAACCGTTTGTATTCTGGTCTTTCTGGTTTTCCTCTGGAACGCGCTTGTCCTCGTTATCTCCACACGTGCACATGCCTATAGTCTGTAATGTGCCCGTACACTTGCGCGCGTATCCATATCTGTCCTACGAGACGTGATTGTCTATACATATGTACGTAGATCACATTTGTGTTGAAAAGGTTGACGTGATTGTCTCTACATATGTACGTAAGATCACATTTGTGTTGAAAACGTGCGTGTATACATTTAAGCATGTGTCCAGGTGTGTGCACGTGTACGTACATGTTCGTGTGTGACCTCCCATACCTACTGACATACCACTCTGTATGTGCGTGTGTATATGTGTGTATGCGCATGCAGTCGTTTAACGCACATACCCACCTGTCTATACATACTATTGTTGTTGCCACGTGTCACTCTGTGTGCGTGCATATGCATATGTGTGTATGCGCATACAGTCGCTTGACACACATACCTACTTGTCTATTCCAACTATCACTGGTTGTTATGTATCACTCTTTGTGGGTGCGCATGTATACGCGTGTTCGTATATACAGTCTCATTCCACACATACCTACATAGCCATTCCTACCATCATTGATGTCTCATACATAGGTCGAGTTGATCACACGGTTGGCCCAGGCGTATGCACAGAAGATGAAGCGGGCTCTGCACATAAACTTCTCCGACAAGTAAGTCATATACGCACTCAAGCATGGTACATGCATGCATCGACACATGTACCATATGCATCTATACACATATGTCCTACGCCCATATATACACTCAAAGATGTACATGTGTTCATATGTATACGTGCCCTGTATATCGTCCGTGTTGAGTGTGAATGGCTTCCGACGGAGACTGAGTCCGAGTGTGTACACCTGTGCGTTCATGAGTATCTTTATGTGGATATGAATAGTGTCCAGAATCGACGCATCTGTCATGTCAACATAAGAAGATTCAAAGTGACGGGATGGTTGTGCCTCTTCAAGGGGTGTGTGTGTGTATGTGTGCGGCGCTACAGTGCTGTGTACTAGCACATGTATATACACGGCCATATCTCAGTTTTTGATATTTATATACATAT